GAACTGGTGTCCAGATCCAGCCGCTGTTGAAACTGATCAGTTTCAGCAGCGGCTGAATCTGGATGCCAGTTCCGACTTACATACAGATTCAACTTAGGGACTGTAGGTTTGTTCTTATCTTGTACGTAACCTGGGGACTGCCTGTACCTGGAAGATAGGGCAATCTTGTTTTGTTAAATGGGATATAACTTGAGTACAATGAATTTGACTTGCTTGGCAAACATTAAAATCAAACCTTATGGTGGTTTTGCTTTTTCTCCCCTTAAGATTTCCGACTTACATACAGATTCAACTTAGGGACTGTAGGTTTGTTCTTATCTTGTACGTAACCTGGGGACTGCCTGTACCTGGAAGATAGGGCAATCTTGTTTTGTTAAATGGGATATAACTTGAGTACAATGAATTTGACTTGCTTGGCAAACATTAAAATCAAACCTTATGGTGGTTTTGCTTTTTCTCCCCTTAAGATAGATCTAGTACCAACGAGCTTACTCAGCTACTGCTAGTAGGTCACTGACTTGTAGTACAAATGGCAAGGATCCTGTAGTGCTTGCTGAATTATAGGCTAAAAGGTAATGCCTATTAATCTGTTCTGCACCACACACTTTTAAATTTGCAAATGTAGCCCACAGCAATTAAATGGTTTTATAATGTTGCTATCAGACGCTATCTTGTAAATACATATAGTTCTATTTATATTGTAAATGGCAAAACTGACACAGATTTAACAAACTGCAAGTTTGTACAATGACAAGAGCCCATACTTTCCCCAACTGATGAAAAATCCATAAGCATTTAACACTCCACACCTTGATCTCCGCACATCTTGGTTGAAGTTAATTTGACAAGGTTTGCTTTTCTAATATCCCAGTGGCAGAGCTCCACCTGCAGTAGCAAGGACCAGCGTACTAATAGAGACACCCATCTGCACTTGAACCTCCCTCTTATGAAACCTGCTCAAAATAAATCTAGGTGTCCTGGTAAGGAACAGGGTGATGCACACCAGAAGCCTGAATAATAGCACTTTCTTCATTACTGCCACCAGTGAAAAATGTAAAGAGGGGAACACTTAATGAAGACCAGCCCTTTACCTTCTGTTCTTCTTCGAGGTTCCCCGTGGGTGCTGTGCACTTGGCTGACACACCTAAGTGGAGCACCCACGGGGATACATCTCGAAGAACTCCAGTTACTGCACGAGGTGAGTAACCTTCCCTTCAGATATTTAGGATTCATGCTAAATATATGCATATTGTATGGAGTTTTCCTGTATTGTGGTTAAAACCTTAATAGCCCACTGAAAATTTTGGTTTGGTTGCCTACCTCATAGTTAAGATGCACTTTCGTCATTTTCCTTGAAGTTAAAGAAAAACATTTTGAAGTTATTGTTTCATTGGTTATCTGAGTAGATACTTGACATATTTATTTTAGAGAAGTAACCAATCAATGAAGTTGAAAAGGATGTTTGTAATAATTCTTTCTCCCACAACAACACAACTTTCCTTTATGTAAACATAAATCTTTTTGGCAATGATGTGTAAACGTAAGGAGCAAAGCTCTCATAACTACATGAGGGCATATACTCAAGTTTAGATTTTAAAATAGAAACAGAGCACACTGACCAAGAACGTGCAGGTCATGCACTATAGAAACTGCTTTATCTAATCCTTTTGTTGTATGCTGTTTTGACTGTTTGTTTTTTCCAGCATATGGAGAATAACTTTCTGATTACAAATGGGATGTAAAATACTGATTTGTATGTTAAAGAAATGATGAGATTTAAAACAATAACAAAATTGTAAACAGACTGCACTATAGTGCATGCTAAAATACATTAATTTATTACAGCTTGTTCAAGTATGTGTATTACTTCACATGTGAATTCAAACCCCTGAAGCATATCTTGTTCCTTTACTGTGTGTTATGTCTGTGTGCATAAAACCGTACTGTTTCAAACCCATGTGCATTGTTGAGTGATGAAAATGGTTTGTTTTGAATGTTTTTTGTAACTCGTGTTTTAAAAAAAAAAAATGGGTTTGAACATACAGAATATACGAACCCTACCAGAAAAATTCTCAAGTTTCAGAAAGTGCTTTTTAATAGACTACTTCAGTGTGTATACTGAGAGTAAATTATTTGCTTAAAAAAAATTGCATTTTTGGTTGGGCTTCCTTAAAAGTGAAGTGTGAAAATTCAGCTTTGCTTTCCAACTTATCTTCTAGCAATGATTTTAAAGTGATTTCTGAAACTAGTTTGGAGGCCAATGTTTATAGCTGTATGCTACAATTGAATGAGACCTATTTCTGTATGCAATATATAAGAGTTGTCAAATTGGTTGTGTTATGAATGCTTTACTCAAATGCTCAGTTTCTAATGGATAGTTTCAGTTCCATATATGGGGTTATAACATGTTTGGTAATGCCATCTATTGAACCATTCCAGTTTGAATCCTGATAACTTACAACATTCAGTATATACTGTAACTGATCAGTATTGATAACTTTCTGAAGACCTAGCATCCAGGTGATTTTAAAAACTAAATACCCCTAAAAATCTTGAATGTCATGGTGGGGTACAAGGCCTTGTGTATCTGTTTCTTTATTTAAATAAAAATAAAATAAATAGCATTTACATGAAAGCCCTAGACAGCTGAAAGTTTACATGCACTTTTTATCACAAGATGAAAATAGTAAGGCAGCAACGCTGCAGCAGTTGAAAACATAGGCATTTGATAAACTTGCTCCACCATTAGATTTGGCATTAAAACCCTATATTCAAGGATAACTTTTGTGTTGACAAATTATGGCACCTTTTCAGTATTCTTTTCATATTGGTGCAAGTCTGCAGAAAACAATACAAATGAAATAAACTTTAAGATCACATTTTGCATTAATAGCTTCATGTATTAGTCTGGTGAGGTAGACACTTTATTATGAAATTGAGAAAACAAAGGTGTCTTAAATAACTGTAAACACACATACAAACATTTGTAGAGAAGTGTCTATTTTTTTAAAGGAAAATGGAATTGACTTTTATTAAGCCCACTTACATCAACCTCGTTGCTGATCTAATAATCAAAAATCTGAAATGAAATGATGAATTTTTAAAATAATAAAATGTTACATTGATTACCTTAAACACATTCCTTTATCTAAATCAGATGAGCAATAAGGATCTGGTGTAACTCCCACTGTAATCAATAAAATAACTTAAACTTGACATTGGCTTGGAGCCTAAATTACTATGGGTTGAATGTTTATCTATCAACAATTAATCTAAGTAACTGTGTGCTTAAGCGTGCTCTTTTGTTCCCATTTTCTTAGATCGCTAGTGGAAGAGGAAGATCCTCACATGAAAGTATCGCTTGGTAGCAGCGATATGGGAGTGTCTGCCCATCTACAGTCTTCAAAGACAGGGACCACAAGATTTTTCACCAGCAACACTCATAGTTCTGTGGTATTACAGGTAATCTAACACAGCATATTGTAAAATTAATACCTGTTTTACCTGAAGGCTTTTCAAGGCTTTGAACCATTTGTGCATCTAGGAAGTTCTTAAACTTAGAATAGTACCCCAAAGTCCTTATTAAATGTTTTTGTGTCATGCTGACAGTACCCTTGTTGAATAGGCAGCATGGTTTGGTGTTCTTTATTTTCTCTTCGGGATCTTAAGCTATCTTTGAAAATCAGATTTTCCAAGTTAAATGTTCAAAGCACAGCAACAGTTTGAAAAACTTGACCTTTTACTCTAATTATAGACTTGTTCACTATTAACTTCAAATGGGTAAATAAGGTTTCCTAAGGTGAGGGAGGGACTGCTGTTTCAAAGCAACACCCTTTTTCATGCAGTCAGGCAACTTTTTCAGGTGAATTTCCTGTTCTGGCATTTTCTGTGTGAACATTGTGTTTAAGCCTCCTTGCCACAGCTATACTATTCCTCTCTTGGTGCTCCTAAAACAGTGAAACTTCCAATTGTCCAGTTTCTTTATGGTTTGGAAGCCACAGTATGTGACCTTCATATGAAATAATTAGTAAAAAACGTGCACTTAGAGGATTTGGGAAAACTGTTATGAAGCTCATCACTGCCAGCTCTCGCTTTCTTAATAAACATACTCTTTTGTAGTCCAACCATGAAATAGCCATCCATTTATCTTGCCTGTCATCATGTACAGCTGGGGACAGATTAACTTCATTTAATTGACATCTATCAAATCAAGCAAGTTTCATGTTTTTCCAGTAATAGTATGTACTGTACATACAGTGGCAACTGCTGTCTAGAAGGAAGTAGAAGGCTTTAATTTGTGTCATGAGGGCGTACACTTCAAGAAAACCATACAGCCCCTCTGTAGATAAAACTCCTAAGCATATATTAGCAGATGCTTGTGCCTTTGAGTTAATTCTTCAAAACTGAAGTATAAAAACTTGAAGTTACCCCAAGTGGGTATACAAACTGAAATGGTAGAAAATGTTTAGCAAGTGGTTCTACTCTGAAAAGTGGCTGTGAAGTGACACTTTCTCCCCCTATGTTTATTCGGGATCAGATCGGTTGACTTGAATGACAAAAATAAAATTGTAGCACTTATTTCTGCAAGCTCTACAGAGCTATGAAGGATTAAACTGTTTCATCCTGTATATTCCAAATTTGGTTAGTACAGTATATCTTAGTAGATCTGGGCAATCATGTAGAAGCAAATAGGTAAGTGTGTCAATGAAAGTGCATAGGCCTTCATTTACACTTAATATGAAACATGGAACCTTATCACTAGTGATGCACAAAATGGAGAGAATTCAGCTGCAAGGCCCAACAGGTTGGGCAAACCTCTTTTTACTTTGCAACTGTGCACATGTGAAATGGAAGTGACACACTTAGGGTTGCCAGGTATGCTGTTTTGAACCAGACAGTCCAGTATTTGAGCTTTCTGTTCAGGAAATACATTGAGAAAATAGAAATGAGACAATAGAAATAGCTGATATTTTCTAAGTAAGATGTGATGTAGATTGTGATGTCAACTGTGTCTGGTATTTTTTGTTGAAACCATTAGTAACCCTAGTCACACTTGGGATTCCATAAGCTGTGTCTGAAGTTTTCAAAGCAGAACTGCACTTTAAATCTTCACCCAGGAGGCTTTCTCACGCTGATGTATGCAGGTGTTGCAGTCTTATTTTCGATCTTGAGACTCTGCGCTAGAGAGCAAAGCCACATCATTGCACTTTAGCAGTCACATTAAATTTTCTCGTGTCTTTTCCCCATTATAATTAATGTGAACTAAAGTGATGGCCTCACCGTGTCAGTTTGTTATACGTTGTATGTAAAACAAATAGACCATGAAATGTAAAGTGCCAATGAAATGAAATTTTATTGCAAATATTTATTTGCTTATGTAAACCACTTAACACATCTACCTTTACACATGCTAATTGCTGTATAGAACTACATAAATACTAGATGTAAGATAAATTCACATTGCTGTCCCAAGACTAACAATTTTAAGGATTTTTTAAAAAAAGTAAACCTGAAGAAGAAAAGCCTTGGTAACATGATATATATTCATTGGTTTCTGAAGCTGGCTAATAACTATAACTCGACAGGCATAACTCGAAAAATGTTCTCACTCCCAGCAGATTTCTGTTTATGCCCTAGCAGTACAGAGATAGCTACAGATCAGAGACATACACTCCCGTTGTTCCACCATTGGAATGGGGGCATGTGAATCTTGGAAACAGTCATGGTTAGCAAGACTGGGAGCTCTCTGCATGGCAGAGGTAGCAGTGCAGAGGTGGATGTGTGAATGAATCAGAGAATATCATGAAGAGCGCTAAGACAGTCTAAAAACATACTAGAGAAAAGGCCAAATGTGTCCTGAATTGCCAGGGAGATGGTCTTACTTCCACCCACAGCCCTACCCCACCCCACTATGCTTGATGGTAGAACCATCCCAACTAAAATCTTGTATTCCTTCCCTGTGGCTACAACATCTGTGACATCGCTCACCAGAGACATTGGGAAGCCTAATGCCCTGATTTTTTCATACAGCCATCCCAACTATATTTTGGAACGTTTTAAGCCACCTTTTTCTGCAGATGATTACAAGCGAGTCATGCACAGCAAGCCTGTGCAGCTATTCGCTTTTAAGCTGAGGAACATTTTTTGATTTGATCAATTCTTCTCTCTAACTCTGAGTAAGAAATAAAGTTTATACATGTACTAAAGGTGCAGGTGAGTTAAGCAAAATGTAGTGGGGCAACTTGTGGTGTATTCTCTGTGCCCATTTCCCTAATGGAGAATGGTCCGGTTGTAGCGCTACAGTCTGCTGGAGATAATGATCTAAAGGTGGTCTTCTGGCCATCCTGATCTAAATTCTCTTCGTTGGATCAACCAAACTAAGGCATTGTGGGATATTGTCACAGGCTTTTGCTCATCTTTGGCGGATATTGTCATCCTCTCTCAAAAGGTTGAGGCTTTAAAATGCTATACGTTTCAGGAAGTAGTTCCTCTGTTTTCTCATTTCTGCTTAAATTGTGTTGGCATCATTAGGCTTGAATCCAGGAAAAAGTCTATCGCACATACACATCTTTTGGTACTTGGGATTTTAGGCAGAAGTGCAGTTTGTTTTCTTGTATAGATGCCCTAAAGAATTACATCTTCTTTTAGGACTAGCTGCCAATATAGCTGAAGTGGATCACAAAAGATTTTCAAATTTAAACTAGGCAGTGCTTTTTATTTCTAATTGTTAGTTTGGGGTGAAAGTACCACTAGTACCTTAGTACCTAACTCCTGGGCCTTTGCTTGGTAGTACTTCTCCTTCAAATCTTAGGACAGCTCAGACTTTTTTCTCCCAGGTCCCCATGGTGCACCTCTTACCTCCCTGGGAACTATCACTGATTCTTTTTTCTACATGATTGGAAATAGCTTCTTCCTGGAGCCTTTGCAAAGCTGAACTTAACCTTATGGGAGGAGTTCCTTCCAGGCAGAAGCAAGGTTACTACGTGGGTACATTGATTACCATCCCACAGGATAGTGTATTCTAGGGCTACAAGGATTCTCATCAGCACTTAGTAGACTCTATACTTAAAAGTGCTGTCACAAAGGCCCCCCCCACCCCCCCCCAAAAAAAAAGTGGCTGGCTGCTACTTTCTGTTCAATTTATAGTTTACTAGAAAGTGACTTTGGTCAGTACTGCGGCAGAGATTTTTTTTGCTTGATCTTTCAGCACGGCAGCTACTATAGCAGCAAATAGCACTGTTTGAAGACCCTGGCAAACAGACATTGATCACAGCTCATTGCTTTCAGATTCCAGTTTGAAACAAATAATTTTTCTCAAGTCTTAATACCTATTCTTTCAAGATAGATTGGAGGACTAGTAGGTACTTCCTCTTCTTTTGGGGGGCGGGGGGACGGACTAGTTAGAAGGCCTGATTAAAATGACCCAAGGGAGGGTTTTTTTGATTACTGAGATGCTTTATTTTGGTACTTGGTTAAAAGTAAATGGGTGGCTTGTATTATCTAATCGTCAAACATTAAACTTAGATTGGTTACAGAATATTTGGTCCTGTCCTTGGATCAGTCTGGTTTTTCTGGCTAGGATGGGAAGGGCAGTAAAGAAGATGGGAAGGTTTCCATAATTCTGTGTAGCCCAAAAGTTCAATACAGGGACATTCACTGCTCTTATAGGGTATGTCTGCACTAGGGATGCAATGTTCTGGTCAGTCACTTAATCGGTTAAATCTTAAGTTTAACCATTAAAGCGGGATCCCATTCCACATTTCCCCCTCCCCCCGAACCTCCCCGCTCCACGCAGGGCCAGCAGCTGTGTGTGTGTGGGGGAGGAGGAAAGGGGGTCAGCTTCTGCTCCCAGACACTCAATGTGGGGGCTGGGGGGGCAGCCCCAGCACACAGTGATGATAGGTGGCGGGGAGGAGGAGAGCTCCTGCTACCAGCCCCGCACCGGGCTGTAACAGTCCTCCAGCTACAACGGGCCATGAGCAGGGTGATGCTTACCAGATAACCGGTTAACTGGTTACCCGTTCACATCCCTCCTCTGTCATTTAAAAACCTGTGGCTGGCCCATGTGTACTAGCTTGGACTGCAGGGCTAGTTCAGTGTACATGCGTCTAGGCTTGTGAGTGGTGGGAGAGTCCCAGACCTAGGGCTGGAGCCTGAACCAGATTGTCTGTCTGCACCACAGATTAACAGCCCCGCAGCCCGAGCCCAGTTGATTTGGCACACGCTCTCTGTGGTGTCTTGCTGTGGTAATCAGGTTTGCAGGGCACTAGCCACTTCGGTTACTATTGTTGCTGTAAACTGTCCTAGAATCCTAGAACAGTAGAACTGGAAGGGACCTCAAGAGGTCATCACATCCAGTTCCCTACCCTCACATCAGGACCAAGCACCATCTAGACCATACCTGACAGGTGTCTGTCCAACCTGCTCTTAAAATCTCCAGAGATGGAAATTCCACAACCCTCCAGGCAATTTATTCCAGTTTCACACCACCCTGACAGGCAGGAAGTTTTTCCTAATGTCCAACCTAAACCTCCCTGGCTGCAGTTTAAGCCCATTGCTAATAAGGATGTAAAATCCCATTAAATCAGTTAACCGCTTAAACAGGCCCCTTAACCCACACTCTGGCCAGCCATGGGTAAACTGATAAGCCTCACCTGGTGAGGGTGATGCTCACTGGTTAACCACTGACATCCCTAATTGCTGCTTGTCCTATCATCCTAGGTTAAGGAGAAATTTTTTTCTCCCTTCTCCCTTTAGCAGCCTTTTAAGTATGTGAAGGCGGTTATGATGTCCCCTCTCAGTCTTCTTTTCTCCAGACTAAACAAATCCAGTTCTTTCAATCTTCTCTTGTAGGTCGTGGCTTCTAGAATTTTAGTCGTTTTTGTTGGTCCTCTCTTGACTTGCAGACGTCTAACTTTTCTAAATAACTTTTTACTTATTCTTTTCCTGTTTTAACTTTTCAATCTACCTCTTTTCCCCCAGCGAGTTGTCCAATCACCATCAACCTTCTTGGTGAAAACTGACACGCAGAAGTCGATGAACACCTCTGTCATTTCTACATTGTCCATTATTGGTTTTCTGTCTTCATTAAGTAATGGTCCTACTCTGTCCTTGGTCTTCCTCTTGCTTCTAATATTTTAGAATGTTTTTTGTTGCCCTTTTTGTCTCTAACTAGATTGTGCTCATTTTGTGCCTTAACTCCTTCTAATTTTGTCCCTGCATACTTTTGTTTTGTTTATATTCATCCTTTGTAATTTGACCTAGCGTCCACTTTCTATAGGGTTCCTTTCTGATTTTTAGATCATTCAAGATTTCCTGCTTACGCCAGGGTGATCTCTTGCCATACTTCCAATTTTGCTTGCATCCTTAATAATGTCTGTTTGAAAAACTACCTTTTTAATTGGTTTTTCTTAATTCTGCTTCCTGTGGTACCATCCTACCAGCTCCCTGAGTTTACTAAAGTCTCCCACCTTGAAATCCATTGTCTTTAGATTGCTAGTCTCCTTCCTACCATTCCTTAAAATCATGAATTCTGTCACTCCGTGATCACGTTTACCCAGGCTGCCTTCCAGTCTCATAGTCTTGACAGTTCCTCCCTATTTGTCAAAATCAGATCTAAAACTGCTTCCCCCTCAGTAGCTTTTTCAACCTTCTGGAAAAAAAAAGTCTCCAAATGCAGTCCATGAATTTATTGGATAATCTGTGCCCTGTTGTGCTACTTTCCCAGCAGATGTCTGGATAGTTGAAGTCCCTCATCACGAAGTCCTGTGCTTTGGTTGACTTTGTTAGCTCAAAAAAAGCTTTATCCACCTCTTCTTTCTGGTGAGGTGACCAGTAGTAGACCATGATGTCACTCTTGTTTTTTGCCCTTTTTATCCTTTCCCTGAGACTCTCAACAAGTCTGTCTCCTCTCTCCATCTCTGCTTCCATCCAAGAGTATACATTTTTAACAGAAGGGAACACCACCTCCCTTTTTTCTCTGCCTGGACTTTCTGAGCAAAACCAGTATTCCAGTCATGCATATCATCCCACCAAGTCTCTGTGATACCAACTATTGTACTTGTTTACTCACTATTCCCCATACTTTTTGCATTTGTATACAAACAACTAAGTTACTGATTTTTTTTTTAACCCTTCCCCCTGTTCCGTTTTCTCTCTCATTTATCCCTGCTCTTATCTCCCATTACTGTGTTCCTTGAGTTTCCAGCAGTGGTGTGAACTCCTTGACAACTTAAAGTAAATAACTTCCCTTAAATAAGGTAAACAAACTTTTTTACTTCTCACTTTATGGAGACTGGACAGTTAAAGTTGTGATCTTGTTTGCAGGGATTTGACCAACTGCGAATAGAAGGTTTACTTTGTGATGTGACGCTAGTACCAGGTGATGGTGATGAAGTATTTCCTGTTCACAGAGCTATGATGGCATCAGCTAGTGATTACTTCAAGGCAATGTTCACAGGTAATGCTTTTGCTTAAAACAGCTCAAAATCCAAATTTATTACCGAAACAGTCTTCATTGTTAGTCTAATAAATGTCTAATACAAATACTAGATCAAACACTTTTTTCCCTTCGTGGTATTATTAGAATAATAAAAAATCAGAATTGATTCATTTAATTGAAATTAAAGTTCAAGTGAGTTGACTTTGTGTAAGAATACACTTTTTAATTAGTGATCTCTTTCAAATGCAACTGAAGAACACATAACTTATCTAAATTCCATTCTCAGGTGGAATGAAGGAACAAGATTTAATGTGCATTAAGCTTCATGGTGTGAACAAAATAGGTCTAAAGAAGATTATTGATTTCATTTATACTGCAAAACTTTCTCTTAACATGGACAACCTTCAAGACACTCTAGAAGCTGCCAGCTTTTTGCAGATTTTGCCAGTTTTGGACTTCTGTAAAGTGTTTCTGATATCTGGGGTAAGGCATTTTGATTTGATATAAGTTTCAAGTTCTGACTTAAAAAACCCAAGTCATTGTGTAGTATCCATAAGCAAGAATTTCATCATGACATTGGTAACTGGTTCACATACAGTAAGTTCCTGTGCTCAAAGGAACCATACAACTGAATCTTATTTATTGTACCTAGCACTAATCACACTAAGCTTATGATTTAAATATCATGACACATTTAAAAAAAGGAACAGCTTGTTGCAGTGTCTAATTTTACTGCATGAACTGGAACATTTTATTTCAATAAATGACAGTCACACTTTTAGCTCGTTATGGATTTCTCTCACTGACACTCATTTTTTTTTTATATCATACCATAAGAAAGTTTGAATGTTCAGTAGCTTATTCATTATTATTCAGTCAATTATTTGTCATCTTTATACTTGTGGCTTTGTATATACCTTTTTTGAACGGATGATGTTACAATAATATTCTTTAAGTATAGTATACTCCAATACAGTGAATATGTAGGGGATGTCAGTAATGTTAATTATTTGAAAAGGTCATTACAAGGATTTTAATGGTGATCACTGTATGTTTGGCACACACACAGAGGAAAAACTTGTGTATTGAATATATACTGAACTTACAAATAGGCTGTGTCTACACTGGCGCAATCTTGCGCCAAAGCATCCGCTCTTGCGCAAAAACTTGCTGCCTGTCTACACCGGCCGTGTGTTCTTGCGCAAGTAAACTGACGTTCTACTGTATAAAATCAGGGCTTCTTGTGCAAGAATTATGATGCTCCCGCTCAGGAATAAGCCCTTTTGCGCAACTGTTCTTGTGCAAGAGGCCATTGTAGACAGTCAACATGAATTTCTTGCGCAAGAAAGCCCTATGGTTAAATTGGCCATCAGAGTTTTCTTGCGCAAGAGAGCATCTACACTGGCATGGATGCTCTTGTGCAAAAGCACATGCTAAAGAGTTTTTGCGCAAGATCATGCCAGTGTAGACGTAGCCTATAGTGTTATCATGTGGTTGTGTCTCTTACAAAACCTATTATTGAGTTCCAAGTGAGTTAATAGTGTCTATTATCTCCCATTTCCATTTCCTCTCCCTCTCCCCCCCAGCAAAGGCCTGTTGAAAAGGAGAGCTTAAATCAGAGGATCATTTTTATAGATTTTAATGTAAAATGCAAGTATATAACCTTGCGTTTTATCATAAAAATCTATTAAAAAGCACTCCTATTATGTGGAATCTTACTTTTGGCAGCTTTTAACCTAAGCATTACATCTATAGACCCTGTGTGTATATATGTGTGCTCTTAATTGGTTGCACAATCGAGTTCATGTTTTCATTGTAATGAGCAGGTTTTTAACGTAAAATCACAGCATCCCAAGATGAGGGAGGTATGTGCTAGTATATACAACCGTGGATCTGGAGAGACTTCATCACTTCTGAATCTCTTAAGGCTTTCCTATTACTTAGTTGTAACCTGAGAGAAAGCATAAAGAAGGTTGTTTGCAATAGGAGTGTAAGTCGTGTTTTTACAGTAAAGTTATGTCTAAACTACATCCTTCTTTCGAAAGAGGGATGTAAATTAGACAGATCGAAATTGCAAATTAAGCCGGGATTTGAATTTCCCACACTTCATTTGCATAATGGCGGCCAGGAGTACAGGATCCTTTGAATAAGGGTTTTTTCCCCAAAAGAACCACATCTAGACAGCGGGTTTCACTTTCGAAATACCCATTTTCGATAATGTGTGGCCACCATTATTCAAATAAAGCGCAAGAAATTCTAATCCCGGCTTCATTGGCAATTTCGGTCTGTCTAATTTACATCCTTTTTCAAAAGAGGGATGTTCTCTAGACATAGCCTAACTGAAAAACTCACACATTTACAGCACTACTTAGTTACCAGTCTACATGTATAGGCAATAGCTGTGAAAAAGGGTGAGGGATACTAGAACTGACAGTTGCTAGTGATCAGTTTTAAATGCTTTTCCCTAGTGTAGCAATATGTCTCCATAGGTAGAAAAATGAAGTGTCTTGGAAAATCCACTGGCCATGTTCACACTAGGAAAAAAATATTTGTTTTTAAGAGCTCACATTAATGTGTTTGAAAATCCTAATGTGGATAAGACAATTTGTAGCTTTAACACACATCTGGTTAAGATAGACCCTGTGTTCCCAACTAGGATTTTACCCCCACTAGTATGTTAAAACTATAAGTGGTCTATGCTAGGATTTTACCATACTAGCTAACATGTTCAGAACAAACCTCTGTTTTCCTAGCAAATACCAGACCACTGAAAGCCAAGGGACTGAAGCTGACATTTTTGTTGAGATTACGTTAGTTGCAATCGTTAAAGGTTCTCAGGTTGACAATCTTCTGGCTTTAAAAAAAAGCAGGCTGCAGACAAAGTCACCTTAGAGATTCTCACCTCTGGAACTTATTTCCCCATCCTTGGCCCAACAGTGTCAAGACTGTTAATTTAAATTGTGTGTGAAATAATTCTCTGCCAGAACTCTCAAGACCTCTCTTGAGTTCAGTGAGGGAGTTGGGTTGCTTGTTTGAGATCCTTATTTTCCTGAGTGATTGACAAGATTTTCTGAGCACATTACTTTGTTTTATTATGTTACTACATTTGGACAGGTAATAGCTCCAAAGCCTAAGGCTAATTTCCGCAGGTGCCTTCAGAGTCTTTCTCAATAGTCACCAACTTGTGAAACATTAGCTCTTCCCAAGGCTGACAGATTTCTCTTCTAGACCCTATTTCTAACTGGAAAAATTGATCATATAACTGAGTAGTAGTAAATTCAGTAAAATAAGCAAGCAGTTTTAAATGAGCATCTCTTTGGGGGAAGCTATAGAGCATGGTAGTACACATTTTGATGACATTATTCAAAGTGGTAACACAGGGACATTCATCTGAATCCTATTTGTCTCTTATCGGGCATGGCATGGTGTTAGTATTGCAAATATGATTTCCACAAATGACTGGTAACCAAACAAAAGTGAATGTTTTTGGAGATAAGCAAGTCAGTGTGTGCGTGTCCATTATTAATGCTTTAAAAAGAGGTTAAGTATGTGCACTTGAGTGTTAACCATATATCTGAGCGTAGTCTGGTTAATTTGTTTTTTCATATTTTCTTTTTATCGGCTTCAAATGTTCAAGGAAAGCCCCCAGCAGAATTGCCAATGCAGTGTTTATCAAAAGCTTATTGAAATAGTAAAGGCCTCTCATCTGTGTGGTGTCTGTGAGTGAGGACTGTGAAAAACATTGTTACTCAGGAATCTGGAAAATATAATGCTAATTTGGCATCTAGCCCCTCACCTGTTTCATAGGTGTTCATAACCTGCTCTCAGATTTGATAAGCTTACACCTAGTATCATGCATCAGATATTGATTTTGGTTTCTTGCTAAGCATTCATCCTTGCTGAAAGACAGCAGTGCCTCAGTCTACCTTTTTGCTTGTGACAACAGGAATTTTTGACACACACTTTCTTGTGGAATTTATTCACAAGAAACTGAAGTCTTAAGTTGAAAATATTTTTCTTCTACGCGAATGAGAATATACAGATTTTCTGTTAAGGACCCATAACGTTTGAGCTTTCAAATGTGTTTGAAGCCATTTTCAAGCACTGTTATAATATAAATCTTTGTCTGCATTGACTGTTGTGGATGATACCACGCTGGGAGGGGTCGCAAGTGCTTCGGAGGATGGATTATCATTTAAAATGATCTGGGCAAGCCAGAGAAATGGTCTGAGGTAAATAAGATGATGATCAATAAGGAGAAATGCAAAGTGCTCCACTTAGGAAGGAGCAATCAGTTGCACATGTACAGAACAGGAAGCGACTATTTAGGGAGGAGTGTTGGCCCGTTCTGGGCCACGTTTCGAGAAAGCTGAGGACAAATTGGAGAAGGTCTACAGAAAAGCAACAAGAACAATTAAAGCTCTAGAACACATGGCCTGTGAGGGAAAACTGAACAAAAGGGGATTTCTTTAGTTTGGAAAACAGAAGATGGTGGGACCATGAAAGAAGGTGTTGCCACTATAAGTTGCCTTGATATACATTGATTCTGCATTAGTATCGTTGATGCATGTGGGAACAGTTCTGTTGTAAGTCCTCCCGTACGCCACTCTTTATCGCACAACAAAGAGACCAATTCGCGCTAATGGAAGTCGGCCGCGGGGAAAAAATTCCCCGCTACATGTCCACAATTTCTGAACGTATCTTGGACGTGTAGCGAGGACACCCTGTAGCAGTTTTCAAGTACATAAAAAAGATCCTTACAAGGAGGAGGGAGGGAAAAAAATTGTTAGGGCAAGAAGCAATGGGCTGAAATTGCAGCAAGGGAGGTTTAGGTTGGACATTAGGAAAAACTTCCTACCTGCCAGGGTGGTGAAACACTGGAATGAATTGCCTATGGAGGATGGGGAATCATCATGGTTGAAGATTGAAAGCATGTTAGACACAGACCTGTCCGGGGTGGTCTAGAACCATGGTCACCAACTGGTCAGGGCTTGACCAGTCGATTGCAAGGCGTTCGCGGGTCTCCCACCCCCAAGAAGCCCCACTACCTACCTCCAGTGAAAATGGAGGTAGTGCCAGCTTCCTGCGGGGTGGATGGAAGTCCTGCAGCTGCGTGCCGCTTCCGGAAGTGTGCTGGCTGCTCCCCTCCCTCAGGTCTGTGGCGTGGGGTGCCGGAACTTGTGGGAGGGGGCTCCCCCGAAGAGGCATGCGTGGGGGCTTCCCTGCGCTGCCGGAGGGGGAGTTGGCCCTGGAGGAGGTGCGTGCGGGGGCTTCCCTCCTCTGCGCCGGGGGGAGGGAGAGGTTCTGGAAGGAGCCTGGTGCAGGGGACTCTCTGCCTCCACTGGCACCCTGTCCCCTGCTGCAGAACCCTGTCCCCTGCCCCAGCACCCACTAGCGCCCTTCCCCAGTACTATGTCCCCCCTGCTCCTACCAACACACTTGGGGCCACATTAGTGAAGGTTGGGGGGGAGGGGTTGGAGGAG